CAGCAATAGCCCGGAATGCCCGGCTCCGGGCCCCGGGGCGGATCCCTCTTTTCGGTGGCGGCTTTCCCGGTAGCCACCACCTTACCACGCGCCTTGCCCCGAGAAGGCGCAGAAGAACCGACACTACTTCCCCCAGCCATGAAAAAGACAAGAAAGACTTGAAGAAGGTTGGGGAAGAAGGAAAAAGAAGACTGTAGAAAGGAAGTACCTGGTACTCTCCCTCATAAATTAACCCTAACAGTGACTAGGTTACCGGAAACGACGGCAGAAACGGAGAAAATGGAGACGGAAGACGAGCAGAAAAATGAGAGGAACAACGCACACAAGAAGCTGAAAAAGCGAAAAGTGAGCAAAGTGAGAAGGGAAGAGGCGCGTATGAGAGAAAAGAAAGTTTTCTCCCAAAATTCAAAGCGGCCATGCCACGTGTCAACCTAAGGGCACGCCTGACAACGCAATTAATCGCAAATTCATCATTGCATAACCGTCATTTCCCATGACACGCCACTTGCACGTTTCCGAGAAATGAACAGTCGTGACACATGTCACCACAACGAGCAAATGTACGCGAGAGGTCACCTCCTCCCAGCGAGCTCGGCCTTAACTCCTCGACCTACGATCTTCAGAGCTCAGGGGGCTAGTGTACTATCCGTACTACGTAACCGAGCTCCGAGCTCGGCACCATAACGCAAGCCGACCTCGGACACGCACCGCGTGACATCAGCTCGGTATTTACGCGAATCATAACTGATCCCCGAGGATCTCGCCCCAGACGAGGTCCGTTATCTAATCATATTACACCTCATCTCAGGCCTAAGGCCCAAAGCAACCCTAATTCACACCTAGGTACGTGCATTACTTATACGAGACTAATACTCACACAAACACTAACTGTAGCATCAGGGTCTCTTTTGCAGGTACCACCCCCATCTTGGAGCATCAAGCGTACCAGCAAAGGAGGCTCACCGATCTTACCTGGCGGATCAGCTCTACAGCAGATTTTCGGTAAGAACATTATGTATTTTTAAATTTTTTAAATTTATTTAGGCGAAAAAGCCGAGGATCTTACATATGCTCCCACCGATAGCAAAATGTTCCTTTTCATTTCAATTTCATTCGTAACGATCGAATAAACATCATAACCCGGAAGTTCTTGTGAAAATGAAGAGGCAAAGGTATTTGGTTGATATATATATAGACTCGGGGGAGGGGTTCAATCAACACTTTAAATACCTTTAAATTATTATTTAATTTTAACAAAATTTAATATAAAAAGTATTTAAAGTTATAAATTAATGCTTATATCAGTAAAATTTAATTTTAATATAAAAAATATTAAGTGATATAATAATTTATAAAAATTAGATTATTATCACTCGAGATATATATATATATATATATATATATATATATATATAAGAAAAAAAAA